TTTGATGAATCACAAACATGGCCTGAGATGTTAAACTCTGCAGCTGTTTTAACCTCGATCTCTGGTGCAGCGAGACACTCTTAAGGTGGAAACAAAAACAGCGGCCATGAAAGCTGCCGATGGGTTTCCCTGGCAACTGTTGCTCGTGTTGAATGGATGCCAGCCTTTCACCGGGCCTCTGTTATGTCGGTGTGGCTTCTCCAGCGGAGGGAATACAGACACTAATGAGAAACAGGGATCTGCTGTGTGACGGCTGCTGGCTTCAGCCGCTCTCCCACAGGCACGAAATGATACTTTCCTAACTGCAGAAGGAGCTTCATGCACCTCTATTCCCAAGAGAGGGCTGACATCTATCAAAATGAACATGTGCGCGCGCGTGTGTGTGTGTGTGTGTGTGTGTGTGGCTGTAATGTTACCGTCTTTACTGCTGCATGCGTGATGTAAAACCATCCTCTGACACATTGTTGTTATTTGATTAGCAAAAAAAAAACATATATAAGAATATTCAAATCGTTCCCAGTTAATGGCCAATGACCGGACAACCGATTTGTAAATCGCTGCATCGGTTTTATTATAACTAGTTTGTGTAGAGTAGAGGATGAAGACATACAAATCTTTGTAGCTAAAGATTAGAGATGTGTGTGTGTCCCTGTTCAAGTGTACAAATATCCACAGTCAACTCACTTCCTGTAAATCAAACTGTTCGGATCCAAAACTAAACTCCCGCTGACGATGTGAAATGTTTTAGTATGCGTGTTAAGCATAGGTGGATTTGCATTGCCCCCCCTAGTGGCTGAAATATGTTACAGCATTACTACGTCTAAAACTGTTCCAATACAAATATTTCCTATATCAATATTTTAACAAGGTAGGACACTGGTTAATAATATTGTAGCGTGTTCAAGTAACCAAGGGATATAGTAGTTTTCAAATAAGTACAAGATGTGCAGTTATGATAAGTTGTACAGTTATGTAATGCACTGTTGTTGGGGGGAGAGACTGCCCCTTCCATATGAGTGTGTGTGTACGGCGGGCATGAGGCGTGCATGATGGGACGAGTTGTGTTCGTATGTGGAAAAGTCATACTCAGTGAGGTGAACGCTGGCTTTATTGCTACTGTATCCGTAGCACCCCACGCAATAGTTGGGACTGTGTACTGACGTAAGTAAAAAAGGTTTGCCCCCCCAAGCGCAAATGTCAAACTCTGCCTATGGTGTTAAGATTGGAATACATCTGAAGACTTACACAAGACTATAAGAACATTATTAACAGTTTCTTTCAGTCTTTAAAAATACCTTTCCTCCCTTCAGTGTGATTCAACTAGGGCAAACAACTGTACCTTATGTAACCAAAGTTAGAGTAAACTCAAACTAGCATCTCCAGAATTACTCGGGCGATATACTGATAGGATCCAAAGGAGAGTCCAGACTAAAACATATTTCAATCCTTTCTCGGAATTTATAATTGAAGGCAGCAGAAGTTTATACCTAAGAGATTCACTCGCAGAAAATAAGGATGGTCATTAATTATTGCTGAGCCGATGCCTGAGAGACATTTAAAGACATTGCCTTTGATTTTGTAATTTTCTTTTGCCATTTTATTGACCAAATGATTAATCGAGAAATGAAAAGGCATATCAATCAAAGAGGAAATCTACCGTTGGTTGCAGCCCTCCACTCTAGCATTGAGGCTCTTTCGGTAAATGTCTGATCATTCACAAATAAAGTAATTAATATTCACGTAGAGGCCACCCATGCAAAGAATGTCAATTAAACATCCTGTTGAAAACCAGCAGAGTAATGTGAATCATGTTTGTAAGGGATTATGATCCTGTGCATCATCCTGTGTATTTACCATAGACTGTTTATATTAGTTATAGACATTTAGCTTTTGTGTAGTGTGGGTGACTCTGAGGAGGCGCTTCCACACTGCGGTACAAAAAGCAGAATAAACGAGAATGTGTCACTGCTCATTCGCCTCGTGTGGGTGTCGTTGACAGACGAGAGTTGCTTCTTTGCTAATAAGACCTCCTACGAGTGGGGGGGGGGGGGGGGGGGGGGTCTTTGATGCAGAGAAAGAACGTGTCAGTCAGTCACTGCATCAAACACTCACCAGATTATAAAGGCGCTTCACAATATACATGTCAGCCAAGACAAGAGGAAGGGGTGTCGCTAATTACAGCTGAGTCGTTTCTGGGGTAAGACCAAGAAAATCAGGCTGAGTGTTTCATACAGGTAGTTCAAGGGCTGCTCAATTCATCGTATTTTAATCGCTATTACGACATCATCGAAATAAAACGAATATTTTTATTTTATTTGTTATTTCAGTTGAATTATATTTAAAGTTCAGGGTAATCAACTATTAAAAACATACTGTTCAAATATTTTTTTCCAATAAAATGGATGTTTTCAAAGTAAATGGATAATCGTTTTTAATAATCGTGATATCAATTATTGACCAAAATAATCGAGATTAGTTATTTTGCCATAATCGAGCAGCCCTAGTTCTGAGATATTGTATTAAGCTGTTTGAACTCTGAGCTTAATTAGATTTTGGTGCTCCAAAACTTTAAAAACTGTGGACTCAATGTTTTTTTTAACGAAACAATACCCAAGCACTAGTTGTTTCCCTTTTTCATATTCGAAAGCTTTCTACCACATTACATGTTAAAGGTGGGGTAGGTAATTTTGGAGAAACCAGCTGGAGTGCGCTAGGATTTGAAAATACACAAAATATCATCTGTGGAAGCCGTGGCGCTGTAAAAAGCATTGTGGTTCATTTTGATCTTCCTATCTGATTTACTGCAGGGTGCTGAATTAAAGTTAATTCTTGACCTTGACAGCAGCTTGACAAAGTAAACTAAAAGTCAATTTACTGGAGCTTTTTAAGTCAGTAGACCTTGAGTCGGGATAGTTTTTCTAAAGGAAAAGAGTAAGTGCTCTGGCGGGAAACAGCTACCAAGCGTAATGTCCAATTTGAGATGTCACCTTGGACTCTGTAATGTTTTGATGCATTTTGATGCATTTTCCACTGTTTTCTGGCACTTTATTGACGATTTGTAGTCTTTATATCACAGTATTCCAGATGTCATTGCGAGAAGAACTGTTAAAAAAAGAGAACCTGTCTGCAGTGCCATTGTTTGTCTGTCACTATACTTTAGAAAGTGACGATGCTGCCATGTTTTGATGAAGTGTCTCCTTGATGGACAACACTTGTTAACAAGAACCATTTTTGCAGTTTTTTCCTCAAGGATTCAGTGAATCATTCTTCAAATGTCTTCTGGAAGAGGCTAACGGTTCACCACAGGCTGAACTGGAGAACCCGCCCCCACACCCACCCAGCCTCCACAGGGCTCTGACATCTGCACCTCCTCCAGTCACAGACCACTGGAGTGCAGATCCTTTCCTCCACTTGTCTCATAGATTTGAATATAACTACCAAGTTATGTTTCCCAACAGAGGGGCTTCCTGTAACATGTAGTTATAGAAATCCCACTGTGGGAAGGACACAGATACCCCTCAACAAAAACAAACCTGTTGGGAACCGGATACCCAATCAGGACTGCTGCTGAAAATCTTCACCTGTTTCCACTGAACACTTCTGAATGTAGCACCTAAGGGTTGGCTTACTTAAAGCAAATTCAGTAGCACTGAAAGCGAAGTACCTGCAGCATCTTGCTATTTTGAGTTTTTTCCGTCATGGTTGAATGCACCCATTGAAGGTTGCTTTAGACAAGAGCATCTGCTAAATGTGCTGTAATGTAATGACCAACACTGCAAGTCCCAGAGACACGACCTGAAACATCTCTGTCTGTTTATCCTGCTCGTATCCACGCATGCATGGCTGCTGTTAATAAGCAGATGGCCTTACGTTAGAGTCTGATGAACCCAAACATAATAATGAACGCCAGTCTTTCTAATCTAATGAATGACAAAACTACAGACATGCAAATGCATCTGAAGTAATGTATTCAAACCAACTGTTTCCACATGACTCTCCACCGTGCATCAGTTGGTAGGTTTATGATGGAGATCCCTCCGCGGGGCAGTGGTCTGCCACTGGGATTAGACCACTGGTGACAAACTGGAAACTAAAAGGCCAGCAACATATGGCGCAGGGGTTTATGGGATTACCCAATTAACAAGGTGACTCAGAGAGCTGCTAATCTGCTAAATGTTCCGACCTATCTGGACACAGACAGTGACGCATAGAGGCCATCTTTTCAGCATCCAGCAATTAAGCACACACACACCTCATGTGTGTACAAGCAGTCAGCTCTAATTGTATTAAATTAGGATTCACTGGGTGTCTGGGACAAACATTCACTCATCCGGGCAAAAAAAATTGCTTGAAAAAAGTGAGCACGTCACGCTGTCAGTGAGAGCTTCATTAATTGTAATTATCCTGACAAAGTGCGTCGCGAGCACACACACCACCTCAACGCGCGCTGTCAGATCTGCGCGCAAATCAAAACGCGCGCTGCAGGGACGTGACGCACAAGTGGAGTCCGCGAGAGGACACATTTACACACAGAGGACAAGCCCGATACCGTCCGTAAGAAATAGACCCATTTATGAGAACTCTTTTCAAACATCTTTCAGTTTTGGTGCTGTGGAAAGTGACAACTTGGTAGTACAAATATAGATTTGAGCATCCCTTAATATTCCCGAAAAAAAACAACATGCTCCACTCTCCGGAAAATGTTTGTGTTAAATCCCACATGCAGATAAAGATAATAGTATGCATTTTGTATTATAATCACATGTAATTCAATTAGACCGATGTATACTATAGGCTACTAGTTAGACATGTCAACGATTGTACATAATCCGTAAATAACTGCAATACTTAGTTTACTATCACCTGCTTTCACACCTTTCCCCTCTGTGGGACGATTAAAGGTATTCTGATTCTGATAATGTTCCCAAAAGTGAGCATCCATCGCATCCCAGCCTGGATTTATCCCTCTGTTTCTCTGACTGATTGAGGATGCTTCTTACCTTCAGGGAATTCATTGGGCTGCACCACATACAGGAACGCCTGCACCAGGTGGAACAGGATGCCTATCGGTCCCGGTTCGTAATGGGCCAGAGTCTCGTAAACTCCTGCAGGAACATAACCGAAATCCAACTTTCCCGGAGGAGGGAGTCTCCGCGGCTCGGTCTCCAGCTGGAGTTCTCCGGAGGCTAGAAACACGGCCAGGAGGAGCAGCAAGACCCCGGTACTCCACATCGTGCTGGGGTCAAACCGGACCTGTAAACTGGGGTTAAACTGAAGAGAGAGATCTTCCTTATCGGAGAGGAAGCGGAGGCTGAAAAGTGTCCAGGTGGATCTCCCGCAGCTTTCTAAGTCATGCTGCCGGCGGAGAGGCTCCTTCTGAGCATCGTTTCCCCGGCTGAGGCTCCTGGCGGTCGGACTAACCGGGTGATCTCCTCCCGTCTCCGGTGCTCTGCGGTAGGTCCTCCCGAGATGAGCGCGCCTCTTCCACTCCAGCCTCGGTGCGCACGGGGCTGCGCTGCGTCACGGGAGCGCGCCTCCGTCACTTTACACCGGGGAGGAGGAGGAGGGAGGGTCCGGGGAGGGGGGCTCCTCCTGCCGGTGAGAGAGGGCGGAGGATGTGCTTATATCTGATAACATTGGTTGATAGTAACAAGTATTTACTCAAGTAGCCTTTTTGATAAATAAAGTGGAATTCTTTGCCGAATGATTTAAAGGGCTGTAAGAAATGTGTGATGTTTAAGAAAATGTATAAAGAAAGCGTAATTAGACAGTATAAAGTTGACTTTTGATTGTGTTCTGGTTTTATGTTTCAGCATTTGTAAGCAACTGTGACTGAAATAATATTGCTTTTATTTTACTTTGTTATGGTTATTTAATTGTTTTTAAGAAGGGGCAGATAAAATAAGATGTTCTTCTCCCTGCTCCTTTCAACCATGCGCTATATACAAAAAAAACATTAGTAAGTGTATGTTTTGTTTTAAAATAACTGCTATAAACAAATACATGCAGTTTTCAAGTACTTCTACTCCTGCTACCTTTGTATTACGACTATAATCCAGAGGCAGGTATTATATGTTTACTCTGATATTCATTTGATAACTTAAGTTACATTTATGAAAAAAAAGGCAAAAAGGTCTAGGAACAAAAAGCGAGCTTTATTTAAAATTAAAAAAAAGAGCTGATGAACAAATCATGGCATGAAACAAACAGATAGCACATGGTAGCAACAAAGCAAAAACTGACCGTGAGCAACATGGAGGGAGACAGGAAAGAAAATGAACCAACAAGGAACACAGGGGAAGACAAGACTAGATACAAAGAGGGGTAATCACTGGACAAGACACAGCTGGGCAGGGGAGGCAGAAACACAAGGGCAACAGGTGAACACAATCAGACAATCAGACGCAGGAGGACAAACACAGGAAGGAAGACAAGACACAGGGAGAACAGAATTTCAACATCAAATCATGACAAGACAGACAACTAGGATTGTGACACTTTGAAAATAATTCATATTCAAAAATGAAATACTGCATCGTGTTACTTACCATGTATTATTTTAGCACATTAAGGCAACTAAATAATTAATAATCACACTGTTATATATATGTATACATTGTTCTGAAAATAGGCCGTTGTGCAGAATAAGTACTTTTACTTTCTGTACTTCAAGAGAATAAAAATCGCTTTTAGTTTGATAATATATAAAAACGCAAATCTGAAGAGTTACATTAAATAAAGTGAATCATATTTTTCGTATCTTATGAAGTAGAAGACTAAAATGGTTATATTCACAAAACTCAAATACAGTTCTTGAGTAAATGTTTTCAGTAATGTTCCATCCCTGCTTGTAAGTTCTCCAATGTACTTCTTACTCTGCTTCATCTATCTCTAGTTTCTTTACAAAACTGTGCAGTGGTCCTCAGGCTTTACAGTATTTCACTTCCCAAAAACACACTACCTCTCTCCTCTCCCATCAACAGGTGCTCTGTATTCAGGACCTTCAACCTCCCCGGACAGAGGACACCTGAGGAGCGCTGTGATTGGTCGAGCCGTGGTCAGGTGGGCTCTGCTTCTGTCTCTCTGCACAATAACATCACTGTCCTCTGCAGAGCGCGGGGCCCCGAATCCTGGAGACAAGGGGCCCCTGTCTGTAAACCTTTGATCAGCTATTGTGAGCACCTTTATTCACTGAAAACACACACCACACACACACACACACACACACACACACACACACACACACACACACACCACACACACACACACCACACACACACACACACACCACACACACACACACACACACACACACACACACACACACACACACACACACACACACACACACACACACACACACACACACACACACACACACACACACACACACACACACACACACACACACACACACACGGTTCATGTGCTACCTAAACTGAGGGGGTAATAATGTGCTTTTTACATCCTGCTATTAACAGTGTATCAGGTACCAGTAAAACATAAGTGTGAAGAACAAAGGAGTAACTATTGGACATTTTGAGGAATAGATTACACTTTAAAAGGGACAGTTCACCCCAACATATAATACATAACATGTTCCTCTTACCTGTAATGGTATTTAAGTCAGAAACAGCTTTATTGGTTTACACACACAGTGAATTTGCTTTGGTGTATAATGGTGAATACATTAACACATTAAGTGGAATTAAGTTTATACAAAGAAGTAAGTACAACTAGAATCTGATAAACCACTCCAACATATACAGCAGTAAATCAGAACATCAGATTGTTCTGCTGTGAGTTGCAGTGTTGGAGATCTCTGACTTGGATTTTAATCGTCAAGGCGACAAAAAATACCGTGGAAAACTCAACAGTAATTACTGGACTCTGCACTGGGGAAAAGTGGTGTAAACTGAACATATTCTGCAAAACATATGAAGTCTTTACTGTACTGTTTTAATAACCTAGTTTTAGTAGGTCTAATTATTACTCCCTTGTTCACCATGTCTCGTTTTCTTCTTCTGTGTTTTAGTAGCCGTCAGAGGCGATAAGAACCTTATTGGTACTTATTTTATACAACACTATTACACTGTAAACCAATGTACTCAGGACATTGCCAATGCTCTCTCTCCTCATTATGTTTCAAAGCAATCTGCATTTAAGGGATTGTTGTATTCTCTTAATTAGTTCCTGCTGAAATGTATCTTCCTCTGCATCATCACAATGAAGTGAGATCTTTCTGAGCTCATCCTCAACATCTGTCCGTCACGCTGGACCCTCTCCAAGTATTGCTACTCCTCCTGCAGTACTTCCTGTACGCTGAAGCTGCTCTCAGTGTTCAGCGGGTTGTAAGGAGATTATCACACTGAAGAAGTCTGCTGCAGATTTACTCTCCCTGACCTGAAACTGCTCAGCTGAGCGTCTCCGCCTCGGGACAGGTGAGCTCCTCCATGGAGTAAACCCCACTGACTGCCAGTAATAAAATATATATATATATACGTTTATAGCTGCTCTTTGTGTCCTCTGTAATCCTGCATTTGGTGCACTTTCTGAATCAGGAAATATGTAGAGTTCTTTAGTTTGACTCAATGTCCACTTACTAGTTTCATCTGAGGTTTTCACATCACACGTGAAAAGAGTCAAGGATTATTTATAGAAAGCCAAAACACAACACAAGTAATGTCATACATTTTTTTAATTGAGCGTGTCTAGTGCATGGCCGTTTCTCAATGTCGAGTATACCTGCTGCAGAGCCACTATTTCAAGTATGCTAGGTCATCGAGTGGCGCCGAAGGACTGTTTAAATGCCCAGCAAGTCTGCCTGGGCAGTAGGTCTGGACCAAATGTATTTTTTTCTTTTATATTTCAGATTTTTTGGAGGTTATCCAATTAAGATTTGTAGGTCTGTTTCAGGACCCACCCTAAAGAGCAACTGAACAAATCTTCAGACAAAATCCTTAATTAGAAAAAAGAAATTCTCTCAATTTTCAATAATAGCTTCTATTATTAAATGAACTTTCTCTAATGAATTTGATATAACTCCTCAGTTACATCAACACAAATAAATAACTAGACGACACAATGGTTGTTAAATAGCTGGTTTCCACTTAATAAAACAAATATAGTAATTTCCAAATTCTACATTTGTATCCGATGTATTCATTTAGTTTGTCTTTTTGTGAACTCTGAATGTTGAGGATCCAGACAAATGGCTCGGACCGATTCCAGACTGCAGCTGGGGAAGAGTACATTTTCATTTCATTTCAAACCTTTATTTAACCAGGTGGTCCAATTGAGGTCAGTAAAACATCCTGAAGATAAACGTTAGTCGTGGTTTCAAATCTGTAGTTTGTTTCATCGTGACTCCAAACCAGGAAGATAACTAAACCGCAACAAGTCTGAACACAAACGTCTTCTGATGATATGACTTCAAAGTGTTAAAACCACACACTTGTAAAAACCAACTTTTATTCATTCAAAATTGGGCATTTTCATACAATATTGATCGAGGTAGGAATTAAATAATGAACCAAGCAGAAGAAATAAAGCAGGCAGTGTAACGGACCAAACACACACAAAGCTCTGAGGAGAGTTACATATTATTATATCACAACTGCAGCTCCTAAAATAGAACAATCCTTCTTATTACAATGGTAATAATGAACATCTCTCCAAATGAACTCTTAGCATGTGTTCCTTTATATATAATCTTTCTGTTTAAAGTCAAATCTGACAACTTCAAAAACATATGACTGTGTTGGATTGTGTTATTAACAGAGTAGAAAACGAATTAGGACATTTAACTTCTGCGTAGATTATTTAAAATGTTGTTTGTTATATTTATCTGTATAGTTTAGCTAAAACGGCTGCAAAGTGTAACCTCGTGAAGTCGGCATGGCACCACGCGCTCTGTAACGTACCATTAGTTATTAAAGCGGATAAAAAAAGTCAGTTTTGACACTAACTAAATATGTGGCTGCTGCTGGAAATGTATGGCCTCAAAGTCAATTGTAAAACTGTTTTAATGTTAGGAATAATACATTATGTTGCGCTTAACTACAGACATGGCTGACGAGTGAAAGCTGGAAGATACACCTGGTCTTTAACATGTATAGATTTTACATAGCAATACAAGTTTCAGCCGTAGCAAATCAAATGTAAAACACACATGCAAAGGCATTTTGTTTTGGAAATATTGCTTCTGTTTTTCTGAGATGTAAACATTAGAACATTACTCCAGAGTCAAATGAGAAACGTGACCCGTCGTATTTAAGACAATACGGTCCATCAGTGCAAAAGAAACAACGTCGATTCCTGACCAAGTGAGATGGTTTCTGATCGTCTGGAGTCTAACATACTGAGCGATTTGAAGAACAGATTTAGTGTCGGCCGCTTCTAATCAAACGGTTAGTTTTGTACTGATGAGGATCCTTTAGTGACGTCATCTGTAGGCTGTGTGAAGGAAGCGCTCTCACTCACACACTCCATCTAAACGTGTCGGGAATAAAACGTGCTTTTAAATGATTACGGCCTTAGTGGGACTGGGGTTGTGATTTCTGAGCTGAGCGGGTAATAGAGCGAGCATCATATATAAGATATAAATATTATTATCAGTGTGTGTGTGACTGCTCAGGGATCAGTTTTGGCTTTGCCAATAATAAAACAATAAACGTTGTGGACCCTCGTCATGTGGTGTGCACAGTTTGTGACTCATTTATTAAAAAATTATTTGTTTATTTTTCCCGTAAGAGCAAAAAAGTGAACTTTTGCAGTTACTCGTGAAACAAAAGGCAGACATTTTGTTTTTCTTTCTGGTTTCTTGTTTTTTTTCTTTTTCGTAACTTCTCTAATGGATGTAATGACACTTTGTGTGGGTCACAAGCCTCAGGTTGGGAACCTTTGGCTGAAGTCCATTATTATCTTTCCAGTACTGAGCCGAATCCAGATGTAGTGGACCTCAGCGTCTGACTCCAAAGGCTCGGCTGTTGTAATATATAGCTTTAAAGACGCTGTTGTTTCTAATTGTGTGGATGTATGATGACACCTGATGAATACACTTGTTAAGTCAGGTGATAAGGAAGTGCTCAACGAGTGAAGAATGATTCAAGCGTTTCCTTTAATGTCAGTTTGTTTTGCTGAGCGATTCGAGACGTTTCTCTCTCTGCTCTCAGAGCTGCTCAGACAGGAAGTGCTCTCACACCGTTTCTCACACACTCACACCTGCACACACACTCCTCACACTCCTGACAGTTCCTCCTGAGCTGCTCGG